GGCACAGCTCCTAGCATCTGGTCTCTCAGCTGAGGTTGTTGAGACTATACTCCAGTCCAGGGCTCCTGCCACTAGGAAACAGTATGCCTTAAAGTGTAAGCTTTTCACTTCATGGTGCGGACTGCGACTGCAAGACCCTGTCAACTGCTCAATTGGTACAGTTCTGGAGTTTCTGCAGCAGCGATTCTCCACAGGGTTATTTCCCTCCACTCTGAAGGTATACGGCTTATGCAATGCCCCCTTTGAACCCATAGAAGAAGTTTCAGTCAAGTTGCTCACACTCAAGACTATCTTTCTCCTCGCTATTTCCTCACTTAAAAGGATCGGGGATCTGCAGGCACTTTCTGTTTTGTGCCTGGAATTTGCTCCAGGCATGGTTAGGGCATTCCTTTACCCGAGGGTCGGGTATGACCCTAAGGTGCCCACTTCTTTGCCAGGGCCCATAGTATTTCAGGCATTCTGTCCTCCTCCATTCCAGGAAGTAGGCCAAGAAAGGCTTAATCTGCTCTGTCCAGTTAGAGCACTGGACGCTTACTCACACAGAGCTGCCCCGTGGTGTAAGGCAGATTAGTTTGTTTGTTTTTGTAGTATGGCGCCGTGGGTATTCTTGTTCCCAAAGCAAATCTCGACGCAGCTCGAGTTCCTGAAGGGGAACGTCTCTAGTCTCATGGTTCCCCAAGGGAACGAGACATTGCGTCTCTTTGCCATACTCCCTGCATCCCTCCAGGCGCTACTTCATCGAATCTAACTTGTGCTCTGCCGGATGCGCTTTTATACTTCCTGGCGCTCACGTCACCCCACTTGGGACGTCTCGCTGCTCCATTGGACTGCTTTTACACGTGCTTCAGAACGCGGTCACGCAGGGGCATTCACAAAGCGAATCTCGACGCAGCGTCTCATTTCCTCGGGGGGAACCATGGTTACATACGTAACCTAGAGATGTTTTTCACCATAAATTCAGCTGAATAAGTTTTTTAAATAAGTTGAAATAATGCGGGCAACACAAGCATATTCCATCAATTAGGTTTATAACAAGGTTTATAAGTCATCATTAAAAATCAATTTCCCTGTGGAGTAAATGAATGGAGTTTGGAGAATGGTTGTGCTTAAAATGTGGGACACAGGAAAATACTAAGCTGTCATAACAGACAGTGATGGGATTTATTACAAGGTGTTATAATGCAGCATACTGTTCATATGTAAAGGTCATATGAATATTACTCAGTTCGAGTACCACAACAAACCTCTTACACACAGAGCACATAAAGTGAAGTAGCAGTGAGGACGCCTTTCAAGCTCACAGGTTGGAATAATTGTTTTGGCGGCATTATGTTTCTCAGCCGTATTTTGTGGTTCATTGGATCACAGCTCAAATGAAGAAAGTTTCTCTTTCTTATGTAAAATCTTAATGAACTAATTAAAAGTTGCATGAGGTTGGGCGGGGGAGGAATATTTATTCCAGCCTAATCAAATTACTTCAGTAATGGATTCCTGTGTGTGTACGGCCATGAGAGAACAGAGAGAGACACCTAGAGGAGGACAGAGGGAATGAGTCAGTGCTCGAGTAAAGCTGGAGCACACAGAACCCGTTTAAGAGGTTTTCAGGTGGATTCAGTTTGAGCGCAGCGCTGAAGCATGTAGATATTTGTTGTTTTGATGTCTCCTCAAAGATCTCCTGTCTCTTAATAAAAGACAAAAGTTGTCCTACAAAATACAGTTTTCAGCTTCAGCTTTGATTGTGACATCTTCATTCAGGGTTGTAGGATTTTATTGAAGGAATAGTGTGTGCAAAAACAAAAAGGTCTCTTAGTTGTTTTAATGCTCACCAACCAAGGCTGCATTTATTTAATCAAAAATACAGTAAAAATTGTAATATTGTAAAATATTATTACAATTATGAATAACAGCTTTCTATGTGAATATCTGTGAAACTGTAATTTATTCCTGTGATTTAAAGCTGAATTTTCAGCATCATTACTCCAGTCTTCAGTGTCACATGATCTTCAGAAATCATTGCTGAATAATATGCTGATTTGCTGCTCAATTATTATTAGTGCTCTGTTATTAATAATGCTTCTTATTATTAAATGTTAAAAACAGTTTCTGTGGTAAAAAATTTTTTCAGGATTCTTTTATGAATAGAAAGTTCAAAAGAACAGCATTTATTTAATAGAGTCTTTTTTTAACATTGTAAATGATTTACGGTCACTTTTGATCAATTTGATGCATCCTTGCTGAATAAATGTCTCTTAAAGTGTTTTCTTGTGTCATGAGTCACAGATAAGGAGCTCTCACTCTCTCGCTCTCTTCATCTTTATAGTGCCGCAGAGGCTCTTTTGGCTAGAGTGAAGCGTTTGTTTGGAGATCCACACCAGGCCACAGAGGACCTGAAGAAGGAGGTCAGTGATAAAATGGGCGATTACAGGCAGAAACTGGACGAAGCTCAGGATCTGCTGAGGGACGCGCACAACAAAACCAAGCAGGCCGAAGGACTGGCTGATAACAACCAACTGAACCTCGACCGTCTGCAGGTGCGCACTTACACAAACACACAGACTTATGACACGCTCCGTATGGTATCTAAAGCGTTTTGTTATGTTTGAGCAGGGAAAGAGGGATGCGGCCGGTAAACAGAAAAAGGAAATGGAGGGAATTTTGGCGGAAGGAGAGAAGATGCTGGATGAAGCTAACGCTCTCTCAGACAGCATCAACCAGGGCAAAGAGGTCAGTTTCACACTGGACACATGAAATGTTACTAAACAATAACCACTGGTCAGAGCCGTGGTTTACAGACTGGCGTCTGCAGGAGCTGGAGGAGATGGACAGAGAGTTGGGTCCCCTGCACGATAAGTTGGATTTTAAAGTGGCACGTTTGGGTCGGGGTCTGGACGACTCCATCCCTGATCTGTTGCTGAGAGCAGAGGACCACGCCGGCCAGCTCAACGATTCTGCTGCCATACTTGACAGGTGTGTGTGTGTCTGTGTTCATTGCCGTTTCCAGCTTAAATAAACACTAGAGGCAGTAAAACACCAACAACTGTTATTCCTTTTCAAATAAATTATGATGGTTTCTTGCACAATACTATGTTGTGAGATCAAAACACCTTTACCATAGTGCATGAGTTGTAAAATGTAATATATTTTTACATTTTTATCACATAACCAGCTCCGTGTGTGGCTTTTCTGACACAGTAAAATGTGCACAAAGCAATGTAATATCAATATCATGTGGAAATGTGACCACGGGCGTGTTTTTCCACTGAGCCTGGGTTGGTTTATTTTGTCTTCTTTCACTAATCTGACCGTGTGTGTGTGTGTGTGTGGTCTCTGTAGTATTCTAGCTGAGGCAAAGAACCTGTCGTTCAACGCCACCGCTGCTTTCAAGGCTTACACCAACATCAAGAACTACATCGATGAGGCTGATAAGGTGGCCAAAGAGGCAAAGAAAGCCAGCATTGATGCTCTACAGCTGGTGAGGAAACACACACACACACACACACACACACACAGAGAATCATGAGTGTCTCCTGTCTGCATCAGTGACTGTTGTGAAATGCTCCACATGGGCAGCAGCTAGTTCACATTGATTTTTTTAATAATTTTTTTTATTTTTTACTTACAGTATACACGCCTTTTCAAATCATGTCTTTTTGTGTCAGAACAGAAAAGTCACCAATTTTGAAGACAACATTTTTGCTAATTTTTTCAATACTGCAACAGGTCATATCGCAGCCAATGGCAAACAGGGAAATGCAGGGAACTAAAAATTATTTTTGCATTTTTTGAAGTCTTGTGGTGCTAAAGGCACTTTAAAATGAACATCTTGGGACTGTCTTCAAAGTCAAAGTTACAGTATATTTTATTGACCCCAAGGGGACATTTGCTGTTGCTACATAGAACAGTGACTCCAGTTTGAAGGGAGTGTATGTTCATTCAAAGGGCATTAAAGTGTGTGAGATGTGAATTTCAGCTGTATTTATTTACAGAGGTATATTATGTCACACTTCACACTTCTCTAGTAAGTTTCATCTGTGTGTGAAGACGCTGCAGGCCGTGGCGTAGCGCAAATCCGTGAATGAATGTTCTGAAGTGAAGTAAAGTTCAACAGATTTCCCGTGCTCAGGAGAAGGGAGCAGTGAACACTGTGTAGGGATCATGTCAATGGGAACACAGTTTGTGCATGGAGCTCTCCTCTAACGAGCTGATGATCGGAATCAGTGTTAAATAAGAGACACATGCAAAATATGCAGAGCTGGGGGTCGCCAGGTCTGGACTTGAGAACCGCTGACATATAACATAAACAATATATATATATATATATTCTTGTTGAATTACTATGACAATTCATCCAGGATACCTGTGTGGTTGTCAGGAGCTCGACTGTAATGTCTAGAAATGCTGTGCTTCACTCCACACCTCAGGCAGGTCGTGTTAAAGCTGTTCAATTCATTTCCATTTGTCCTGCTTCAGAGATCAAAGCTTTCCTCCTGTTCTCCGGTTATCATCCCTCGCTCCTGTCGTTCACCCTCTTTCATCATCCTCTCACATCTAACGCAGAAATAGTGGGGCGAAAGGTTAAAACTGAACAAGGGTGCTTCACATAACAGTGTCAAAGCTGACAATATGCAACAATACTACAAATGAGCTTTCAATCCTCTAACCCTCTCTCAGCATGAAAATGCATGACAAGAGCACACTGATCGTGTCACGTTCAACAACATTTCTGTGTTCTGTTTCATATAGAATATAATTTTTGTTTAGCGCCACACAACCAGGGCCATTGGTTTTGTGACTATTACTTGAAGATAATCAGAAATGCTTCTTCAGCAGCAAATCAGCATATTAGAATGATTTCTGAAGGATCATTGAAGACTGGACAGGTTCATTCCCATGAAGTGTGGCACATATACACATTTGAAAATGACAGTCCTTTATCTTATATTGTATTGCATTGAGTTTTTTCCCCAATAAAACACAAATCTCCCAAACATGTCCCTCCCTCTAGCAGGTTCTGTAGCGTCTGAGGCACGAGTGGCATCCGCTCTAATTTGTGTGTTATGTCCTGTCTGCAGGCCTCAGGACCCAAAGGATCTCTGAAAGACCAGGCCAAGGGTTCGGTTCAGAAGAGCCACCACCTGTGGAACGAGGCCAAAGAACTGCAGAATGACGTGAAAGGTGAAAAACCCCCATTAGATTACCATCCTCAGCATCCTGCGGCTTCTCACAAATGTTCCCAAGAAAAAACTTGTTTTTTTCCCACATGTTTTTTTTTTTTTCAGAAAATGGAGAGAATCTGGGTGCTCTTCAGTTCAGACTGAAAGGAGCCAACAAAAAGAACAAAGATCACGCAATTATGAAAGAAAAAAAGTCAGAATTGTGCGATAAAAAGTCGCAGTTACCTTTTTTAATTTTTTTATTCAGTGGCGGAAATGGGCTTCCGTAATTCATAGTGCTGATGCTGATTCAGTCTACTGAGAATCATTGAGAAGAAATTAATAATAAATGTAATGAAAACGCAACATTAAAACGTCTGGATGCCTGAATTTGGAGTGAAATGTACTTAATTGTCATGAAAATAAAGTCAGAATAAATAAATAAATAAATAGTTCTTAATTAAACAGGTTCATTTATCTTTATCTTTCTTTTTTTTCTTTGATTGTGGAGTCAAATATGAGCGTTGTGAGCATGAAGTTTGAGACGTGCAGCTAAGCCTATGGTGTTTTCTCGTTGTGTGGATGACGGTAGATCTGGCAGCGAAGATCCAGGCCACTAAACTGAAGGCAGCGGAGGCCAACGACACGGCCATAGACGTGCTCCACCGCCTGAAGGACATGAACCTCCACCTGATGGGCCTGAAGAGGAACCACAGCAAACTGGAGGACGACGTCAAGACAGCCAACAACCTGATCAAAGACCCGGAGAAAAACAGTACGACACCCATCCAACTCCAGCAACAATCCTTCTTTATAGAGACAACAGCTGCATGGATCGTGAAGATCTGATTTCTTAATTGAAATGTTTGTGTTACGAGATCACTTAAATGCTTATTTGGTATTTTTCCCCCCCCCATTTGATTTTGAACGTCGACAGCAATAAGTATGTATACACGATTTTCTAGCCTATGGTGTTTTCTCGTTGTGTGGATGACGGTAGATCTGGCAGCGAAGATCCAGGCCACTAAACTGAAGGCAGCGGAGGCCAACGACACGGCCATAGACGTGCTCCACCGCCTGAAGGACATGAACCTCCACCTGATGGGCCTGAAGAGGAACCACAGCAAACTGGAGGACGACGTCAAGACAGCCAACAACCTGATCAAAGACCCGGAGAAAAACAGTACGACACCCATCCAACTCCAGCAACAATCCTTCTTTATAGAGACAACAGCTGCATGGATCGTGAAGATTTGATTTCTTAATTGAAATGTTTGTGTTACAAGATCACTTAAATGCTTATTTGGTATCCCCCCCCCCCATTTGATTTTGAACGTCGACAGCAATAAGTATGTATACACGATTTTCTTCTTTCATCTGTGCGAATGAGTTTAAGAGCTCTCTCCGCTCCCCGAGGCTTCAGCATGGTGCTTTTATCCGGAGCGCTGCATGTACAGAGAGAGTGTTTTCTCCGTTCTTTGTTTCAACCCAACAGGATTAAACGCAGCCTTTGAAAGCTTCACTAAGCTTGTTATCCTAATGAGCGCTTTAGCTAATTACAGATCGTTTTTTGCTCTCATCTTCTCTTTTGAAATAACAGCTCCATGTCTTTCGCTGCCTACGCTGCAAACGAGAGATATATAACATGTCGCTTCTTTTTCCCATTTTCGCTTTTGTTTCTGAAGTCTTTCATAGTCTCCTGCACTCTTTTGTTAGAGCCTTTCATTCTCCGCTCTCCGGCATGTTTCTAATGTGGTGTTTATTTTCTGCTGTCTCGCTCTCGTGTGGTAATGTTGGTGCCGGCCGCTCCTCTGCGTGTGTGTCTGCAGTTCATGCGGCCGGAGCTAAAGTCAAGGATCTGGAGAACGAGGCCGATAGGTTGTTGGAGAAACTGAAGCCCATTCAGGAGCTCCAGGACAACCTGAAGAAAAACATCTCACAGATCAAAGAGCTCATCAGCCAGGCTCGCAAACAGGCCAACTCTGTGAGTACTGCTCATCATACTCCAGGAAAACCCTTCATCCACATCTTACACTGTAGAGAATAGCCTGTGAAATCCTTTTATTTTAACCAAGTTCCATTTTTATTCTTATTTTTTATTCTGTTTTTCTGTTGTTGTTGTTGTTGCTCATTTACATTTCCTGGACGTTTTTAATGATTAAATGATATTTCAGTAATCAAAGAGCGTGTTTAATTAATTGAAATCATGAAACGTAACGTAAGTTTAACCAGAATTACTTTTAAAGGGCCCTATATGAAATATGTTTCATTTTTTACCTAATGATGTGTTTTCTGTTTGTTTGTTTGTTTCTTTTTTCAGATATTTATTTATTTTTCCAGATATGTATTTATTTACTTATTTATTTTAATTTAATTATTTTATTTTTTCCCCCAGCAATTCTGCGTGGTGTGTTTTAATTTGTCTGGCAATCAAATGAAGGCATAAAACATTAACAATTGAATTAATTTTTTAATCAAATGAAAACTAAACACTTTAATTTTTTTTTTGCCAAAGTGCTGCACAACAGAGGTTTTACTGTTAAAATTAAGATTAACTGTGTGATTATTCCTTAAAAATGCATTTTTAATAATAATTGTATTAGTCGTAGTTGTAATACTGTTGCATTAAGACGTACATTCTGTACATTACTCTACAATAGTAATATATTTCTGTTATCGTTGCTTCAAGTTAATACGAACTTATATTTTGGCGAGTTTTAGTGAAGACCTTTGAGATTCTGATGGTAGTTTTTCTTAAAAGAAACATTGTAAAGCTTGGTAAAGTTGATGTGTTCATGTCCTCAAACAATGAGACACAGACGAACGTCACACGTGACGTTTAACATTTAAACACTTGCTATGAACACACATGCTCAATAAATGTTGAAGCATTTTAATTTTAAGATGCTCTTGTTGATGTCTCCTTAAGTAATTTGCTGCTAGGAAAGAAACAAGATCATTCATCGTGTGCTGTCTGCACTCCCTGACTTGACCTCTCATGACCTTTGACCCCTAGATTAAGGTGTCTGTGTCGTCCGGTGGAAGCTGTATCCGCACCTACCGGCCAGAGATCAAGAAAGGCCGCTATAACACCATCATCCTCCATGTGAAGACCGTTGCTGCTGATAACCTGCTCTTCTACCTCGGATCGGCCAAATACGTGAGTGTAAAGCTGTCTGGATCTCTTCAGGTCTTCTGCTTAAGCGCTCAGTCTGTGGATCACACTCCTGGACATGTATGTTTGAGTCAGTAACAAAGATGACGAGCTCCTTACTTTCTCTTAAACACAGCTGCTGCCCACGGCTGAGAGAGGGAAATAATTAGAGCTCATTACTCTTCCACACACACATAATGTCGTGTTTGACGAGAGCTGAATTTCCTCAATCGTGCGTAGGTGGATTTCTTGGCAGTGGAGATGAGGAAGGGTAAGGTGAACTTCCTGTGGGATGTGGGATCAGGGGTCGGCCGTGTCGAATATCCCGATCTCGTCATCAACGATGGAAACTGGCATCGGATCGAGGCCTCACGGTAATTCAGAGTTCACTTACACTGTGTGTTTTGTTGAAAGACAACAGTGCAGCAAATCATCTTCTCATTTTCTATGAGCGTTTTATCACCTTTTATCACCCTTACACATCCTTAAAACAAGATATACTTACTTAAGATGGGAAATTGTGTAAGATCATGTGTAAGAGACCACAGAATAAAAGAGGTAGTTGTTACATTCTCAGTTTTCTCACAGTTTGAGTTAACATCTAATTATATATATGTGTGTGTGTGTGTGTGTGTGTGTGTGTGTGTGTGTGAGTGTGAGTGTGTGTCTGTGTCTGTGAGTGAGTGTGAGAGTGTGTGTGTGTGTGTGTGTGAGAGTGTGTGTGTGTGTGTGTGTGTGTGTGTGTGTGTGTGTGAGTGTGTGTGTGTGTGTGTG